GAATTCCCCCCAGTTAACTCTCTCTGGATCCTGACAAATTTTATCATCCTTCCATGCATCCAAAAGTCACTGTTACTTTTCTTACAAGCTAATCATTCACCTGTATTTCTTGTCTCATGAGGGCCCTCACTTCCAAATATTTTCTCTGGTATTACAACCCTCTCCCTCCTTGGTTGCTCCCATCCTTCAGTTTCAAGTAAACAGACTAGCATATAGTAAGTGTTCAGTAAATGTCTGATGATTGACTAAAGCTCCATATCTATGTTTTCGAGTACTGGCTGGATTAAAAAAAAACCAGCTTTATTGAGGTATATTGATGTACAAAAATGTACATATTTAACGTATACTATTTGATGAATTTGGGCATATACATACATCTATGAAATCATCACAATTAAGGTAACAGACATATTGTTCTACATATTTACTTTGTCATCCCACTGTTACCTCAAACCTCACAAGTCTCAAACAGAAATCATTAACTTCCTACTAGATCTGGTTCTTCGCTCTGACTTTCCAGTTCTTTCGGATGTACCATAATCCTCCCAGTTCCCCATATTCAATACCACAAAGGCTTGGATTCCTCCATCTGTAACTAACTAATTATTAAGTCTGGTAATTATATTTTTTTCTTCACAGCACTAGGCCTGTGGAAGGCAGTCAGTCAATGCAAGGCCCACTGCATCTGCACATACTTATTGTCCCACTGAAATAGCCTCAGTAGATCAAACTGCCTCAAATCTCTCCATTCTCCAGTTTATCCATTCATCCAGTCTTGAGATTTCTCTTCCTATATTTAACTTTGTTCACTGAATCTCCCTTACTCAGAAATGTTTAATCCAAAGACCAAAATCCTTCCTAATATTCAAGAACCAACACAATCTTGACCCAATCAAGTCTTTCAATCTTACCTCTTATTATTTCTCTGGAGGAATTCTGCATCATACATAGTCCAAGTGATTTTATCCCACTCTCAGAGACTGTGTGCACACACACTTGCGGATATACCCTTCCCTGTCTCCATGCCTTTGGTCAGGATATTTCCCTGCTTGGAAATGCTCTTTCCAATGTGGTTCCTAACAATCCTCTGGGGTCAGTTTACGTTCTGTAAGTAAGCCTTCACCTTTTCCAGTCAGAAATTCTATTATATGGTGTATCACAGACTTTTCATACTTGATATTTCATGTGCTAGACTTAACCCCCAACAACATTTTAAGTTCTTGAAGGGCAGAGATCATGTAGTATACTTCTGTATCCTTCCCAGAACCCAGTAACTAAGTTCACAGATGCAAGGCAATGTTTTCTATCTCTTAGATAAAAGTCTTCAATAAAGTTTTCACTAATCCTTAAACTTCATTTCTATCTCACACCTCAAATAATAACCATTTAAAAATTGTACCAAGTTGGACCAGCAGAGTGGCCCTGAGCAGCAGGACCCCGGTTCGGATTCGACATGAGGGCCAGTGACACTGCCCTCTACAGCTAAGATGGTGAACAACAGCTCGACCTGCCATGAGTTGACGGCGTAGGCTGCAGCCCCTGCTGCAGTGAGTTACCGTGAGCGGCCGGCAGCCGGTGTGAGCTGCCAAGAGCCGCTGTGAGAGGCTGTCCAGAGGCCAGCGACAGATCTGCCTCACCCGGGAAGAGCGCAATGATAATACCAATATGGGCCAGGGAAGCGACGTCCTCCACTACTAGACTGAAGAACAAAAACGACAGCAACTTGTCTGTTCCCCTTCCCCGATTCCCCAATGCTGTTCCCCTCCCGCAATTCCTCAATAAAATCTTAAAAAAAATTGTACCAAGTTGATCATATTAAAGATACATGAAAGCTAATTTAATTTAAATTCTTTATCAGGAACTTTAAAATATATATTTTTATATTTTATATTTTAACACTGTTATATACAATAGGCATAACATAACAACACTTAGTACTCCAATTCAACATTTCACTGAACATTGATGTTTCTACCTACATTTTACGAAAGATTTAACAACCAATTTAGAATACTTGTCTTTATAAATACTAATGTGGTTCTAAGGGGAACTACCTTAAACTTAAGTGTGATTTATAACTGAAAACTTCAAAGAAAAAAAAAAACATGTTTTAAGTCAATAAAGAATAACTATTTGAGTGGAAATGAACAAGTTTATTGGTTTATTTTTTTAAAAGTTGTGCTTTAATATTTTTTTTGAGTTTAGCTCCTGGTATGGAAAATTCTTTTAGTTATATACTAAAGAAGTAAGCACAAATTAAGTACAAAAAAATTCATATCCTCAACACTTGGTGTAATATGGCAAAAATGTTCATTACCACGATATTAAGAAATATCAACAATGAGTTTGAATAACTAATTCATAAGGAAGAGTTTGAACTGGACCAAATCCTGGGTTTCCTTTCATCACTCCAAGTTTCTTTTCTATTTTAAACTAGTGGCAACAGAAATTTCTTTGTTTGAAAGTCAGGAATGCTGGAAGTCTTAAGTGATAGAACAGGTAGCTCAGCTTTTACTTCATGTCTCTCCTGGGGGGAGGGGAAGGGAGAAAAACACTGTGGATCAAGTCATTTTGTTTTTATTTCTGGAAAAATCATTTTTCCATCAATCTTCATAATTCTCTAAAATAAACTGTTAAAAAGTTACAGGCCAGTCAACCACTTCACCATGATTTGTGGAAATACTATACATTAATTTCAAGAACACATGGCTAACTCAAGTTTTCTTACTACTCTAAAGGTCTAAAAGTTGCTCCTAACTCTTTAACAAAATTTTCGGAAAATTTCACAAGGCCATGATGTAGTTCTGCACCTCCTAATGCAATATTTTTTAACAAAAGAATAGTAAAAGAAATCTAGGCTCAGGAGTCACACTGCATGCCATCAAATTTATTTTTAGGGTACTGTACAATTTTAACTGTGGAAAATGTTTTGTGTTGCACCAAATGCTTAAGAACCACATCTACAAAGAAAATGGAAATAAGAAGCTAAGAATTTACCACTTTAACTAAGACGAAAAAAGTGACAAATAAATATTCCTTTCTTCTTTGCTAATATTGAGATGGCTGCCCTCTCCAAATTAGGTTGGACAAAATAATCACAACTTTGGGAAGGCATAAAGTGAAAGGCAGAGTTTGTCATTTAAAATTCGTGATTCACATTCTAAAACACCTTAATTAACATTTAAAAATTCAAGAGATAGGAACTCAGATAATTCAACAAAGCAGGGAGCAATAAGAAATACTTAACGGCAAGCAGTTCCGAAACCATATAAATCAAATAAAGTCAAGACAAATGAAATAAAGACCAGAAACTATTTTCTCTTTAGCTCAGTTTTTCAGAATCACAAACCTGAAGGGGAGGCATTCACTGCTGACGTAGACATGCAGGCTTGCACACACAATGGAGAGAAATGGCTGGAAACTCTCAGAGACAAACTTTACATCTGTACATCTCCACATAATGGAAAGGAGGGTACAGTGGGCAATTTTTCACACTTTCCTCCACATCAGACAGAGCAAACCCACAGTTAGTATTGCAAACTTCCAATTCCCTTGATACAATCAAAGGCAGAACTGAATGAATGGGGTGTGGGCCAGGGTGGATGGGGGGAAAAAGGAAGGGAAGGGGGGTGGCCTGAGAAGAAGAAAGTGTGAGGCATTTTGTAAAGCTTGAGTGGATTAACCTTTTTAAAAGCCCAAATATTTCTCATTACCATTTTTCTTCCTCTGTTTTTTTTTATTAAATACACACCAACTTCCTGGGACTCGACACAGACGATATTCAGTTAAAAGGCCTGGTGCTTAGGATACACAGGAGTCTTTGGTTAGGTATATGTCAGACACAGATGGTCCTTTTCTGGGGAAGTATCTTAAAAATCACTCTTTTGTGATCATGCATAAAATGTGACCAACTGCTTTTTTAAAAGATGAATTCCACGCATCAATTAGTAAATTGAGGCCCGTATCCACAGCTCTTTGATTGCTACTAAAACATAAGCTATTTACTACTATAAACATTTTTTTCTGAACTTGAGAAAAGTTTGCTTTCACATTTTTAGAAGATAATAAGGGACTGAGGCTTTAGTGTTTCTAGTCTGAGTTATTCATAAATGGGTTGTTTAGGCTATGTAGCATAGGGAAAAAATGTGAATGCTTATAAGTTCGTAGACTTGGGTAACATTTAGTAGATAGCTTTAAATGCACCAATTTAAAACCATTAACAGCATAAAAAGTATGAACATAGCTTATTTCTTCTTTAATAAAATGAAAATATAAGGGGCAGGGGGGTAGATCTTCAGGAAGAACTTGGGTGCCATGCAGTAGTCCCTTGTCCAGGACAAAAAGCTTCCCTTAACCACATGCAACAGTCATTTTGTGGGAAAGGCAGGGGAGGGGGCTGGAGAGTCATCTCCTAGGCGACTCTGATATGGGACCCAACATTTCTCACGCTGCACTATGGGTTGGGCCAGGTGGGTAGCGAGATATAACTACGCCCTTAAGAAGCGGCACCAAAAGGGGAAAAGGAGTCACTTCGCTCTACGCACACAGGAAGAGACCGATTTAACGCCGCCGCCACCGACACCCCCTTGTCTTGCTCCACTCCAACTTCTGTGTTTGGCAGGGGGCACAACTTGCGTTTTGCTCCACAAATTCCGAGACACCTCCATCTCTCCCAAGTTAAGTATTCCCGCCTCCAATCCTCAAGGGTACCACGCTCAGCAGGCGCAGGTGTCTCGCTCTGGCCTATTTTTATAACGCCCCCCGCCCCCCATCCTCACCTCGTTGCGCGCCTCAGTCCCTCCCCCGCCTTCCCAACGTAGTGCAAAGCCTGAACGCCAGGAAACACTTATAGCCCAATTCCCAGGTCACCTGGCCTTAGCGCCCGGCCCTGCCTTCGGGGGAGCCCTGAGGCCGCCTCTCGACGCCGATGCCCAGTAAGGAGTGCGCACGGAGCTCTGGGGTAGTCACGTGGGCGGCGGGGCAGGCCTGGGCTTCCTCACCTGCATCCCGGGCACTTGGACCGCCACCGGTGAGTGGGCCATGAAGGCGACTGCTGCTCCGCACTGCTTCTGCGGCGGTGGCGCCTTGAGCTGGGACTGGCTCCTCCTCCGGGGGGTATTTCGGCGGCCCTCCCAGGCTTTTCGACCCGGGCCTGGAAGGACACACAGAAGTGGGGTTACTGGGCTAGTGGCGCTTAGCCCCGGGCTGGGAGGTGGGGAGTTCGCGGCGCTACTCCCTGGGACTCAGTCTACCTTTCTGGCGCCCGTCGGCCGCGGTTGCCGCCGCCTCCTCTGCTGCTCCTCCTCCTGAATGCGGGGCGCTGTGTGTGGCGGTAGCTGGGACCGGGGCTCGAGTGATGCCGCTCGTCTGCGCCCAGCCGCTTTAGGAAGAGGAGGTGGAGGCGCCCCAGCAACCCGCCCGCTCGCCTGGCGGGGGAGGCGTTTGGGGGCGGTTCCTCCGTTGGCCCTGCCCCCGCCCCGCAGTCGGGCGGTGTCAGGAGAGCTAAGGTTCCGAGTGTAGAGGCTTGCCTGGGGTTGCTGGAGCCTGAGAAGGGGACGACTCTCCCCGCACGCGGAGAGGAGAACCCGGGGACTGGGGGACCTGGAACACGAGTCGGCCTGGAGAGATAATAGAAAAGTTAGGGGGACTCTGGGGTTATGAGGGCGTCCTAGACGCGGCCACGTTGCAGGCAGGCGTACGAGGCTGGGACACACGCAGCCTCGGAGACGTCTTGAGTTAAAACTTGGGGAGTGTTGGAAGTCCTTCTTGGCTTCCCAATCTGACCGAGGGTGCGGGCACAGAGAGCCACGGAGACGGTGGACCCCTACCCATTCCCGCGGTGGGGGTCTCCCTGCCTGGGTCCGCGCCACTGGGCAGATCCGTAGCCATTCTGATGCTTTCCGGATCTCCCGCCCCCAGACATGCTTCAGGTGACTTAAATCTGAAGCTGCACCTACCTCTTCGTCTATGCTTTGGTGAGGGGTGGCCATACTGGGGCTTCTGTTCATCACAAGTTCTACACATTTAAGAGAGAGGGAAGTTGGAAAACAGATGGTACACCCGCAGAAAAATCAATGAAGGTGATCAGTAGGTGCCTTTTATTATTATTTTTTTTTTAGCTGAGCCATCCTGCCACCTGTTGGCAGTTCAGTGTCACCTCAGCTCTGGCTGGGAATCGAACTGCTGTTGCTCAGAGCTCGCACTCTTGAGTAAACTCTTAACCAACTGAGCCACTTGGCCGGCCCAGCCTTGCCTATTTATTGAACTCAGCATACACAGCAGTGGCTCTAGCAACTCCCTGCCACCACCCCATTTCGCGGTGCACTCCAGGAGGGAGACAAGCTCTTTTGAGAGTACCTTAATAATAACATTAACAATGGTAATAGCAATTTCAAGAATCTCATTATGAAGGGACCTCTGTGAACCCACAAGGGGTTAATTACATTCTTAAAATGCAATATCCGAGTGCCAATTTAAAATGAGGATGAAGTTCCCTACCTTGCAGGTTGTGGTAGGTCTGTACACAACACAGTATTGGGGCCCTAGTAGACACTCAATTAATGTTTTTTTGCTGTTGTTCTTTTTGAATCTTTTCAAAGATAGCATACTATTGTTGTCAATATCATTATTATTCATGGATGCCATTTTCTTTGTGCCAGGGACAAAATGTTACCTTATTGAATCTTTACAAGGGAGATCATATTGCTTTCTCCCCATTTTACAGATGAAGAAAAAGGTTCAGTGAGCTTAAATAACTTGACACAAAATATTGCACAATTAAGAAGTGGTAGAGCTGGGGATTCAAACCCAAGTATCTCTAACTTTTAAGATCTAGTCTGTTGGCAACTTTCAAATATACAAAACAATATTGTTAACTATAGTTACCATGTTGAACATTAGGTCCCCAGAACTTCTTCATTTTATAACTGGAAGTTGGTGCCCTTTGACCACCTTCACCAATTTCCCCCATTCCCTGCCCCTCCCAACGACCAATCTACTCTTTGTTTCCATAAGTTAGGTATTTTTTAGATTCCGTATATAAGTGAGATCATACAGTATTTGTCTTTCTCGGTCTGACTTATCTCACTAAGCATAATGCCCTCAAGGTCCATCCATGTTGTTGCAAAGGGCAAGATGCCCATCTTTTTCATGGTTGAATAATATTCCATTTCATGTATATACACCACATTTTCTTATCTATTCAGATGATGAATATATTTGCATTTTCCTTACTCCTAGTTTCCCAATTCCAGGCCCTCACTACTTCTGATCTGATGAGAGGCCCCAATCCAGTGTCTATTTCCCACTCGCCCAGTTCACACTCAACAATGCCAGCCTGATCAAAAACCCACAGGGCCACCTAAACTTTAATGTCCATAGAAATTCTCTGGGATTCTTTTTAAAGTGCAGATTTTGATTTAGCAACTCTGGAGTGAGCGCAAGATTCTTCATTGCTAACAATTTTGCAGGTGAGGCCGATACTGCTGATTCTTAGAGCACACTTTGAGTACTAAGGGTCTGAATCAAACTCCATCATTTGAGGCTCATCTCAGATCTTACTCCATTGAACCTTCCTCCTTGCTGCAAGCCCCCCTTCAAACTTCTCCTGTTGCATGTCAGTGGAAGCTGCACTCACACTGTGTTTTTGTTCTTATTTCATTTATTTAGTCTGCCCAAGAAGATTATTAGGTCTTTGAGGCCAGATATCCAACTTCTCTTACATAAGAATTATTCAGGTAGGATGCCAACTGTCAGTGGGCAAGATTCTTGTCTGTTTTGTTCATTGCTGTATCCTCAGAGGCTAGGAGAGTGTGTGGCACATAGTAAGTCCTCAAAAGAGACTTGTTAAATGAATGAATAAATGAGTGGATGTATTTCCTCTGAATTATTTTTTAAAGATTTTTATTGGGGAATTGTGGGGGGATGGCAACAGTGCTGGGGAATTGGGGGAAGGGGAACAGACAAGTTGCTGTCCTTTTGTTCTTCAGTCTAGTTGTGGAGGATGTTGCTTCACTGGCCCAAGTTGGCACCATCATTGCGCTCTTCCCGGGTGAGGCAGATCACTTGCCGGCTTCTGGATGGCCGCTCACTGCAGCTGCTGGCCACTCACGCTGGCTGCTGGCTACACACAGTAGCCCATGGCAACCCACTGCCAAAGGGGCTGCAGCCTAAGCCGTTGCCGGTGACCCACGGCAGCCCAGCTCCAGGTTGAGCTGTTGTTCAGCATCTTAGCTGTGGAGGGCAGTGTCACTGGCCCTCATATGTGGGATCCGAACCGGGGCCCTCTGGTGTCCCAAGCCAGTTCTTAACCATCACGCCACTCGGCCGGCCTTTTCCTCTGAATTCTTTACTGAGATTGGTATAGTGCTGGGTGGGTGCATTATGGGTATACTGTGTGTTTCATTGATGCCCGGTTAAATTCCTAGGCACTGCTTTTGCTGAGCCTTTAAATCATTCACTTTATTATATGTGACACCATTCTTTTTTTTTCTTTCATTTTTTGTTTCCCAAATTTTTTCCAGTTAATCATATCTGAGAAGTGACCTTCCCTGACATCATTCTGGGCCAGAGTTATGTAAGAATGTGGTAGACTAAATGCTAAATTTTGAGACCTGAACAATTCAGACATTTCCTTAGAAATACTGCTGTTGAGATCTTAATAAACTTTTTGACCTTTATTTAGGTCTACTTCTATTAAATAAACTATCTGTTGTTATTAGTGATAGAAATCACTTGAGTTTTTACATGGACTTCCTTGTGGTTTGCTTACGATTTTTCATATATATATATATATATATATATATATATATATATATATATCTTAATTGAAATAAAATGAGAAATTCAAGTGTGCTTTTTTTTACTCCCCCCAGAAAAGGACGCTTGAATATTTTACTTCAAAATGTCAGCCCAGAGTCTATTACTATATTACAATGTATTTCCATGGCTTGATGGAAAATGTTCCTTGAGGAGAGACACCACATCTTATGGTCTTTGGTAGCCCCGTGGAGTATAACATAGTGCCTCAAATCAGATTTTGTACCTGCTTGATTGATGTGACCTGAGTGCTATGAATCCTTAATACCCATATAAATAAAATAAGATTATATACAGATTAATTGAAGTCAGTGAATTCCGAGTTAGACAGTATCTTTGAACCCAACAAACTTAATTTAAATTTACAATCTGTGATTTCAATTTCCAACATTTGTCATACCCTCAATATTAAACATTTAACTTTACCTGTGTTTGTAAATATTTACTGAATGGACTGGTTCAGAGCTAAAGGTTAGGTAGACAGAAATGGCCAAACTTCAATGTAGACAATAATGCATTAGGGCCATGGTTGTCAACCACGGGCAATTTTGCCTCCTGGAGACATTATTGGTTGTCACAAATGGGGAGGAAAGGGTGCTACTGGTAGTGGGTAGAGGCCACAGTTGCTGCTAAGCATCTTCCAATGCACAAGACAGCTGTCACAACAAAGGATTACCCAGCCCAAAATGTCAATGGTGCCAAGGTTTGAAACACCATGCTCTGGACTCTGCATTAGGGATTATTAACCAAGAAACAGACTTGGGAATCACTGTTCCCTAAGGATTTCAGTTCAATGTGGTGGCTTCCCCAGCCCTCCAAAAAATCCCCACAAGATAGTGGGCCACATTGAGGGGGTACTGGAAACAAAATAGTATTTTTAAATTGATTTTGTACTAAGTCATAGATCATCTGCCCCAAAGAGTGAATACTACTTAATGAAAAATAATATTGAAGAGAAAATAACTTTAAGAAAATCTAATGGTTTGTTTAAAAAATATGTTTAATCATGGAACATGTTCTAATGTACCAGGCATTACATAGGAGTCTTCCAATGAGATACCTCAGGGCAGCCGGTTAGCTCAGTTGGTTAGAGCACAGTGCTCATAACACTAAGGTTGCCGGTTCGATCCCCACATGGGCCACTGAGATGCGCCTTCCACAACTACTTGACTTCGAGCTGATGGGTCCTGGAAAAACACACTGTTCCCCAATAAAAAATTGTCCTTTAAAAAAAAAAGCTCTAAAAAAATGTGATAAATTTGACCTCCTATTCCACTTTCCAAAATTTAAAGGTAGGGTTTCACATTTTTGTACTTTTATATTTTGAGGCTAATAACTACATTGAAATGTATAAACTATATAAATATAAGAAACGTAAGGGCAAATTGATACAATTATCGGAATTTCTTTCAATTATCTGAATATTTAAAACTAAAGGAAATCATCTGGGTAGTTGTAGAAGCTCACCATCAATATTTTGATTCCAGCTACTGAACTCTGTACTGATATTTGGAAGTCCAACATTTGAGGGCCCCTTTTATATTTTTTTAATTAATTAATTAAGTTAGTTTAATGGGGGACTTGGGGG